AAACATTACTGGATGTCAAAAAATACTATAATATAAAAGTTGAAGGTTGACATCAGTTCAAACTACAGTAAATAAATAATAGAGGGCCATTTAATATTCATTTCTGCTTTGAGCTGCTTTTCACTATACACAGGAAATCCGTTCATGCATCAAATTCCATTTAAAAACCCCGTACAGCCCCTTTTTTCTAAAAGTATAGACTTTCGTGCTGTGAGGAAAAAGGGGGAATAGAGGTGAGGTGTCATGCAGTGTCATTTCTGGGAAACTGTAATATATATATATATATATATATATATATATATATATATATAGTTTCATCACTTCAGCATGTAAATCTAACAGTCATTGTGATTAGTAGGCACATTTTATATCAGAAACATGCATATGTAGGGAAGTTGCTTGTGTTATAATGAATAAAACTAACAAAAGGAATAGGAACAAATATATATATATAAATGTTTCGGAAGCACAGAGTGTGTCCCGCAGGAACTATCATGTTTCATTTCATATTGACGTCAATGCTACAACAGCTTTGCAATTGAGCTGCTTTACCAGTCTCAACTCTTATGTCGCAATGTACACAGCATCCAATATGCAGTTTAGGAGAACAATGTAAAATAGATTTAAACCCTTTGGCAAAGTGTCCCCTGCAGCCCTTTCTAACTATAGTTTGTATAATCATATGCACTGCAATCAGACTCTTCAGACATCTGCTGTTCTCCTAATAAGATCTTCAGATGCATTTGAAAGTTAGCATTGGCAGGAGACTTTTCTCTGGAAACATGACGTGAGTACAAAGAAATCACAGTGATCTCTGAACTAGTTTTATTACAGTGGTTCTCAACCTTTTTGACTCCAAAATCTAAGCAAGATTTTTCACTATACGATTATTTTCAGCAATCGGAATTCTGATTAAACCAGTAATAATAATCAAACAACTGAGATCAATACACCATGTTTTGTGTGTATGTTGATACGTACATACCTAAATCAGATTTGAACAAAATAAGGATGAGGTCTTTGAGTTTTTGTTAATACATCTACTTACATTATAGAATAAAGACCTTTAAGACTTATTTAGTTTCCTCTGGAAGTTTGTTTAGGGCATCAGGTTGAGAACCACTGAAGAGGAAAGAAATAAAATGGAAAGAAATAAAGCATTCGGATTTTCTGATGACATTCAAATTGCTTTAAAGGTAATTTCTCATCTTTGCTAGATAATCTACCACATTTACAAAATGTTATCATAAAAAAACTGGATTAAAAAACACAAACAGTTCAAACTAACCCTAAATTTAAAAAGGAAAATAGAGAAAGAGAGTGAGAGAAGGTTGTAATAGTCAGTCACGTGGAAATAATCACTCATGCAGGATCACATTTGCACACTAAAAAGAAAGTTATGTTTGTAAATTTCTCTATTACAGACTCAGGTGATGATTATTGAGAGGCCATCTGTGTTGTGTAATGTCTGGACATCCAAAAGGACATGTTTTGAAGGTTGCTAAAAATAGCCGTGGTGCTTGTGAAAACTGAAATCCTCTTTAAGAGTGCGGTCACATTAGCAAGATTTCAGCACAATTTTGCTTGAAAAAAAAAAGTTAATTGACAAGAACAATTAGAAGTGTAAAGCCGAGATCACACAAAAGTCACTTTCAAACCACAGTGGCAAATCCTGCAATAATTGAGGCATTTGGACAGCATTCCAAGAACCATATCTCTTGAACAATATTTATTACAGCACTGACTATCTAAAGGTGCTCTTTAAAGAAAATCTAAGTATACTTTAGCATAAACAAATAATAAGTGACCAATGAAAATGGAAATTCCATTCCTTATGTAAACTCAGAGTGGTAAACCTGTCAAAAAAGGCTTGTCAAAATGCAATCCAGACTATTGCATTGCACACTAGACTATTCATTAGCACGTCCTCAACATTTGCATGTACTTTAGGTCACTTTCTACATCAACCGGACTTTATGAGCAGAGTTTTACATGGGATCCTTGATATGTATGAAGATTGAAACAAGTAACTTCCTTATTTAAACTTCATCTATGTTTATATTAAACTTGATATGTATGTGAGAATCTTAATTTGTAAATATGAGACACAGTAAAGTCTAATACAGCTGCACCAGATTGTTTTCTGTGCATCGCTAAGCACTGATTTCAAACTATATTTTTTTCAGCTGGTTAAAATGCAAAATGCAGGATATACAGATTATAAATGTATTGATCACTACCTCAAAGAGGGATAATGTATGTTTACTTGTATCTTTTGTTAATTTATTATGTTTATTGTGGAGAATTTGCCATGTATGTTTGTTTTGAGCCAACAAACATGTGTAGAAAGCTGAGTCTTGTGTTTAATCCACATTTAAGAATCATGTCAATTACTTAGCTCTTACTGTCCCTTTTCTGAAGTGAATGAACAGCAATACACTTTATCTGTTTATGTGCTGTTTATTAGTTTTTCATTTTACGTCAGTTTTATTAAACAATGTAACCACAGAATAGGCATGGGCATGGGTATGAGATTTGGATGGTATGATATATGTATGTATGTATATATATATACACAATATATACACATATTTATATATATTTATATATATATATATATATACATACATATATATATATATATATATATATATATATATATATACATATTTATATATATATATATATATACATACATACATATATCATACCATCCAAATCTCATACCCATATATATATATATATATATTTTTTTTATTTTTTATTTTTTTAAATGTCTGGCTAAAAAACTAAAACATTTTTCCACAATATATTTTATTTTGAGAAACTTATACAATATTTTGGAACAGTAAACATGTCAGGCTAAATAATAAAATAATAATCAGTGACTTCTGCTGTTTTTCATTAGTTTCAAAAACAGATTATTTTGCGAATAAAATTATTATTATTTTTTTTGCTGGAGATACTGTTGTCCTAAAAAAAAAAAAACGTAATAAAAAATCTTACACATATCTTAGAAAAGGTATAGCAGAAAAAAATGGCTTTTAATGAATCTTTTGGCTTAATCAAGGTGTTAAAATCTTGACATTTCCAAACTATACAGTATACCTTGAAAATGGTTATCATCCCATGCCTAACACAGAAGTCTCAAGCTTTAAATAGGAAAATTATTTCAACTCTTTTTTTTTTTTTTTTTTAAATTGAAATGCTATTGGTCAAAACAAATTCTTTTCACTTTGTTAAGCTAAGCCAAAAGTAACCCAGCCATAAATCAATTCAAATTGCTAAATTGATTAAAAAATGGCTCGTCACTGAGACTAAGAAAAAAGCCTTTTTTAAAAGGAGTGTACCTTTAAAGCTCTAATGAGTGGTGAAAAAAACTGTAGGTCTCTGCAGAAGCAATAAAAAGAAGAGTCATCATAATACATTGAGCTGTCATAAAAACTAATTTGCAGCAGACTAGTTTTTTTTTTTTACTGTTAAACTAATGTTACACACATGGCTGACATGTTATTAACATGACGCTAGCATGTTATGGGCATGTTTATAATGTTTCCAACATGTATTACCATGCTGTTGTCTTATAGTATGCCAGAGTATAACACAAGAAGCTCCAGAAGAGATATTTTAGAAATTTGTGTTGCATCTCTACATGAACATTCTCCTAAACAAGGTCAGGCAAAAGTTTCATTTGGTTTCTTTAAAGCAACTTAAATAGCATATTATTATGTTTTTCTTTTTTTTTCTTGAGCCGTCATATTAAATCCACATAAATGCCACAACATATTTATCTATTCATTTTCCTTCAACATAGTCTCTTTATTCATCAGGGGTTGCCACAGTGGAATGAGCTGCCAACTTATACTTATGCATATGTTTTACATAGTGGATATCCTTTCAGCTGCAACCCAGTACTGGGAAACATCTATAAACACTTTTTCACACTCATACACTACGGCCAATTTAGTTTATTCAATTCACCTATAGCGCATGTCTTTGGACTGTGGGGGAAACCGGGGCACCTGGAGGAAACCAAGGCGAACACGGGGAGAACATGCAAACAGCACACATACAAGCCAACTGACCAAGCCAGGACTCAAACCACCGACCATCTTGCTATGAGGTAAACATACTAACCACTAGGCCACCTTGTCACCTGCCATAACATAGTTAGCATATTGCTAACATTAATTAGCATATCTCTAACTTCTTTCAAGCAGATTTTAGCACATGGCTGACATTTCCGTAAATGAACACGATGCTAGCATGTTAGTGGCATGTTTATAATGTGTCTAGCAAGAATTAGCATGTTGCTAACATGTTTCAAGTATGCTTATAGCATAGAGCTGAACGTCCAAAGCTCAACATTTAGTATTTTAGAAATCTGCACCCTAAATCTGTCCTGAATAGTTTCAGAAAACTTATTTGTGTGTCCAGAATCATATTATGTTGAAGTGTATATTCCAAAGTCAGCGCTGACAGAATGCTTGTCAACTTAGCAACTAAAACGTGTTAAAACAATGTAATATGTTCAGAAACTGAGCCTGGTTTCTCTCAAGATTTTTCTTCCTTCACTTTGGTCAATTAGTGAAGTTTGTTCCTCGCCACTGTCACCACTCCCTGCTGAAAAATCCAGCTTAAACCAGCCTAGGCTGGTTGGCTGGTTTTAGCTGGTCAACCAGCCTGGTTTTAGAGGGGTTTTGGCCATTTCCAGGCTGGTTTCCAGCCATTTCCAGCCTGGTCTTAGCTGGTCAGGCTGGAAAATGACCAGCTAAATCAAGCTAAAACCAGCTTGACCAGGCTGGTTTAAGCTGGACATAGCTGGTTTTGGCTGGGCTCCCAACCTGGCTAGGCTGGTCAAGCTGGTTTTAGCTGGTTATCTTCCAGCCTGACCAGCTAAGACCAGGCTGGAAATGGCTGGAAACCAGCCTGGAAATGGCCAAAACCCCTCTAAAACCAGCCTGGTCGACCAGCTAAAACCAGCTAACCAGCCTTGCCTGGTTTAAGCTGTTTTTTTCAGTAGGGCTGGCTTGCTTGGTTGGTTGGGACTTTGGGACATTTACTCTTCAATGTTTGGACTTTTAGCAATGAAATTTAAACTGCACTGAACTGAAGTAAACTGAACCTCAACTCTGAAAACTGGACTGACACTGTTTCAATTTACTAGAACTTCTATGTTAAGCTGCTTTGACACAATCGACATTGTAAAAGCTCTATAGAAATAAACAAGAATTGAATTGAATAAAAAAATGGTTCTAGAACTAAAAGCGCAGCCTCTGGTGTTGCAGCATTACACTTTGCTCTCACGCAAAACTACCAATCACACTGAAGTGAGTTTCACCTGCAAAATTGTGCCAAGCACCAGTAAATGTGACCGCACTCCATGTCTAACAATAAGACACACATTTAACATCTAATTACACTACAAGCCAAAAGACAAGGTGAGGTAATGCACACAAAAGGGTGGTCGATAGCCCTGTGCTCTGGCTGTGTCAGGTCAAGCAGGAGGTGCAGTGTCTGTGTGGGCCTCAGAGAGGTAAAGTGGCCTTCTTCAGCTCTGGACGCTCAGCCACACAGAGCAGTTCCTCTCAAAGCTGGTTTTGGTTAACAGGGGATGCATGAGTGTGCCGGGATTATTACAGGATCCGGTGGGAAACGCTGTCCTGAGCACTGCTGTCCGCTGTTGTGTGTTTGAGCAGATCCAGAGGCATCAGGGGAAGAGGCTGGTTTTGTTCACTCATTACTGCCTCGTATGGCGGTGCCTCGTCTAAAGGTAAAGCTGATAAAGAGATGGAGGCCACCGGCTGGTGCCTGAAGTTCTGTAGTCTGCTCGGGTAACGGGACGAGCCACTGGCGGACACCCAGGACGCACCAGCGGGGAGATCCTCCATGTATTGATCCCGACACGGGTCTGTGAGGGAGTAGGGTGGTGGATCGTCTGTAGGAACATATATCTGCGTCCCTTGTCCCACACACTCATCATAACTGAAAGAAGAAAAAATATATATATGTGTGATTAAATGTGATTATATAAATTTGATGTCCAAAAAGATTTTATCAGTGCATTTAACAAACAGTATGCAACTGATACTACATTACATAGTGTATCCGGAAAGTATTCATAGCGCTTCACTTTTTCCACATATTTTTGTGTTATGTTATTCCAAAATGGCTTAAATTAATTCATTTCCTCAAAATTCTACACACAATACCCCATAATGACAATGTGAAAAAAGATTTTTTTAAATTGTTGCAAAATTATTAAAAATAAAAAACCTGAAAAATCACAAGTACATAAATATTCACAGCCTTTACTCAATACTTTGTTGATGCACCTTTGGCAGCAATTACAGCCTCAAGTCTTTTTGAATATGATGCCACAAGCTTGACACACCGGTCTTTGGGAAGATTTGCACATTCCTCTTTACAGTACCTCTCAAGCTCTATCAGGTTGGATGGTAAGCGACGGTGTACAGTCATTTTCAGATCTCTCCAGAGATGTTAAATAGGGTTTAGGTCTGGGGTCTGGCTGGGCCACTTAAAGACATTCAGAGTTGTTGTTAAGGCACTACATTGATATTTCGGCAGTGTGCTTTGGGTCATTGTCCTGCTGGAAAATGAACTGTCACCCAAGTCTGAGGTCAAGAGCACTCTGAAGCAGGTACATTCAGGGTCTCAGTACATTGCTGCATTCATCTTTCCCTCTATCTTGACTAGTCTTCCAGGGATGGTATTAGCCTGGTTATAAGTGGTGCCTGGTTTTGTCCAAACGTGACGCCTGACATTCACTCCAAAGAGTTCAATTTTAGTCACATCAGAGCAGAGAATTTAATTTCTTATGGTCTGAGAGTCCTTTAGATGCCTTTTGGCAAACTCTAGGCGGGGAATGGCTTCCGTCTGGCCACTCTACCATACTGGCCTAATTAGTGGATTGCTACACAGATGGTTGTCCTTCTGTACGGTTCTCCTCTCTCCACAGAAAATGCTGGAGCTCATCTTCCACATACGGATGATGGCGGCCACTGTGCTCATTGGAACTTTCAGAGCAGCAGAAATTTTTCTGTAAGCTTCCCCATCATTGTGCCTCGAGACAATCCTGTCTTTGAGGTCTACAGACAATTCCTTTGTCTCCACGCTTGGTTTGTGCTTTGACATGCACTGTCAACCTTGAGACCTTATACAGACAGGTGTATGCCTTTTCAAAGCAGGTCTAATTAACTGAATTTACCACTGGTGAACCCCAATTAAGCTGCTGAAACATCTCAAGAATGATCAGTGGAAACAGAATGTACCTATTCTCAATTTAGAGCTTCACGGCAGCTTTTTTATTTTAAATACATTTGCAACAATTTAGAAATATCTTTTTTTACATTGTCATTATGGGGTTTTGAGTGTAGAATTTTGAGGAAATATATGAATTTAATCCATTTTGGAATAAGACAGTAGCATGAATACATGTGGAAAAAGTGAAGCGCTATCAGTACTCTCCTGATGCATTGTAGACTGTACACTGTTATTGTATGGAATGTGCTGTTTTTGCATAAAAATACACTTACTTCAGTGATTTATATATAAAGAATATTAAGTTTAACTAAAATGTCTTCTTTAATGTTTCGTAAAAGTTATGTGAAGCAGTCAAGTAGACAATTTAATTAAAGTAAAATGTTAGAATGTAATGTAATAATGTAAAATGTAACCTGTAATCACTGCTGACAAAAGGGTAAAACCCATTTTGTTACAGCAATGGTCTCAAAATCGAAGTGTAGAATCGTCCATACTCTAACTGCTGATAATTCCCACAGTACGTTGCACATTAGACGTGAATTCGATTAGAGCTACAAAAGCAGCTGAAAAGTGTAATTAAACTACAAACATGGTGGACGCGTGAGACCAACAGTCAAGTAGAGATGCTTTGGTAAAGATGTACTTGAACTTATATATATATATATATATATATATATATATATATATATATATATATATATATATATGTATATATATATATAGACGTGTTTGGACATTAACATTTGAATGCATAATTATCCAAAGACCTGAAGAGATTTCTCTGCATAAAAGACTCACGAATGGCAGATTATCCTGCGGCTGCTTCTCCAATAAGGTAGGTAATTAAATATGAAAGAAATGTGGATGATTGACAGGGCTCATAACTAAGCAACATAATGTTCAGATAAAAAGGAAGTAGTGTGTCCCAAAACTTGAATACTCTTCTGTTACACACTCAAAAAAATTTTCTTCACAATAAAAAAGTACATACTTTAAGAGCGTAGTATAAGTATGCGAATTGGAACGCAATACATAGTAGTCTGAAACACCTTTATTAGTTGGATCAGCTATTTGATTAGGGTAGGAGGAAAACTGTGCTGAGCTGTGGCCATCCGGGAATAGAGTTTGAGACCTATGTGTTACACTAAATAACAAACTGACAATTTTATATACTATACATCATGGAAAGTACATGATAATCATTATTAATGATATTAACTGTTAAACAGAAGACATTAAAATTTCTTGGAGAATTATGTAGAGTATATTGATATATACGGGTCGATGAAAATCCTTGTGGTCTGACCTATACACTTGATTGGATACATTTTCTAACCACTAGAGGGCAGAGCTTTTCAAACTTTTTCATGCCAGGAAACCAATATATGATTTATTGACATTATAGAATTACTAAAAATAAAAATATTGTATAATATATAATGAATACAATTTTTTTTCTTTTATACGGTATTATAATAAAACAACAAAAATAATGTAATATAATATGAAAAACATTTTTTTTTTCTAAATATGAACTTACTGCTGGATTGTATTGAATTGATCACTTTATTGTTAACCTGGGCAGTCATCAGAACACATTAATGTTATTGATTTCTCAGGATAGGTCAGGCTATACTACATAATCCTTTTAGGAATTTCCTTCTAAATTCACCAGGCAGTATACATCTACAGCACATTTAAACATGACATGAAAATAATCGATACGTTAATATGTATTTTATATATAACAGTGTTAAATTATACACTTCCCCCCTGTGGATCCCCAACCCCTCTCTTGCAACCCTTATACCCAATAAAAAATGCAGGGTTTTACACAATCGATTTGTGTTGGGACAACATGAAGGAATTAAGTTTACTTATTAGTTTTTGCAAATTTAATTCAATCGGTCTCTATACATATTTACAAATACATAAACTAAATATGAACAATAAATTACAATTAAAAATGTATATAAAACTGTGTATATACAAAATGATTAAATATTATAACAAATGTCAGTTTATTAATACTGATTAATAATAATTATTATATAATTGATATAATAAATGTTCATAAAAACATTGAACTCATAAATGTATCAAAAAAAAAAAAAAATTCTTTCAAACAGTTTCACACCTTTGAACAAATAAACTACAAATACCACAAGATATTCATCATTTGAATCTTTTTGGTTAGAGACTTCCGGTCTTATTCACTTCCATTCATTTTTTGACACTATAAACACCATGTTATGCAGCTTGATGTTGCAAACTGATATTTTCTTATATTATTCTATTTAGTCTGTATGGTCATGCAAACATATTTATTATTCTTATAGTCATTTCCCCCATAGACAACTGAATCGGAAATTCTAAAACAAATTGCAAAAATGAGCCAAAATGAAGAATAAGGTCAATAGGACATCATGAAAAGTTTCTAAAATGTGTATTTGACAGTCTAGATGTATATATAGTGACTATATTTGTCTTATGTTGTTATATCTCCTGAATGCAAGACCTTCATGCTAAATATCACTGACATTGGATTCTCTTTTGCTGCTTCCCACTATGCCAAATTGCCAATTTCACTTTCTGTGAGCGATATCCTGCTACACTGCAAACAAAGCTCCAGTGAAGCACATCAGATTCAAAGCCTGATGTGTCCATCCAAGAGAAAAGCAAACAAAAAGAGCGAGAAAGGGACTGAAATGGCCTACTTGTACAAGTGTGTACGTGTGTGTGTGCGCGCATGAACTACATTAACCAGGGTCATGGGCTCTTCCAGCTGAAGTGAAGCAGTCTTCTGCCTGTGACCTCAGCGTTAGCAGAGTGTTAGGAAGGGAAAGAGCCAATAGGAGCAGGGTAATTGGATCTCGCTATGGTTAACCATATCAGACTGTCAGTGGGAGCAGAAACGGGATGCTAGAATTGGTTTAAAGCTCCGCCTCAGGCTAACACATCAGACACGAACACAGAGAGAGGAAACAAACATCGCTGTCATATACAACATATCTGCAGACTCAGAGACAATGTGATTCTTTTATGAAGAGAATTAATACTGTCACATAGCAAGAAAACACACACACACACCCACACACACACACTAAATTTGTTAACTTGTTAACTAAGATGAAAAGATTTATTTATCTTAACCTATGGTTAAAAATCTACTTTTCAAGCTGTTTAGACAGACGTGTGTAAGTATAGTGTGTAGACCGTCATATTGGGGTGATACAAACTCACGCAGTCCTTTTTTTAATTTAACAACATAAAAACGGTGGACCAATTGGAGCGGTTTTCAGAGCGACTGTAACTTGACATAGAAATGCGGTCCTCCCCGCCCACCAATATTGATTGACAGGTGCACATTACCATATTCTCAGTTTGTTGTTTCAGGTCCACCATTTTCAACGTATGAGTCAGAGCGATTTCACCAAAGAAACACCCTTGCTCTGTTTTTAGATGTAAGGCTCATTGGGCTCAACACAAGATCAACATTCACCACATGATCGCTCTCATCAGCGCCATTGTTTGTGTTGGTGAGTTTGCAAACATGAATACGTTTCATGGTGTCTTCCTTAAAGGGCCATAAAACCCCCTCGTTTCAGCAGGGTGTTTTCACACCTCTACTTTGGAAAAAGCCAGAAAAGTGGGCGTGTCCAGCTCTGTTTAGGGGGAGTGTCGGAGGAAGAAAAGAGGCA